CAAGATTAACTATTCTACAAAACACTGTATGCCAACGGCTAACAGGGCAGATGTGAATTTCACACGACTACTCATTTACCCAAAGAGTCGGTTTCAAGAGTATCATACAATAGTTTCGGTTTAACCTCGTTTTCATAATTTATGTGAGAAAACAAAGAGACATGTAAAACATACTTCACGATTTCATTTAATTTTTTGCATCCTTGCCCCAAAAAGTCTTGTTTTCATACAAGATTTACTACTCTACAAAACCCTGTATGCCAACTGCTCACATGACAGATGAGAATTTCACACAACCTCCTACTTTCACACAACGACTACTCATTTACCCAAAGAGTCGGTTTCAAAAGTATCATACAATAGATTAGGTTTAACCTCGTTTTCACACTTTGTGTGAAGAAACAAAGAGACATGTAAAATATACCTCACGATTTCATTGAACTTTTTGCATCCTTGCCCCAAAAAGTCTTGTTTTCATACAAGATTAACTACTCCACAAAACCCTGTATGCTCACAGGGCAGATGTGAATTTCACACAACTACCTACTTTCACACAACGATTACTCATTTACCCAAAGAGTCGGTTTCAAGAGTATCAGTATGTCTTGTATATGATGGGGTAGGATTAAAAATAAAATGAAATGAGTAGATCCCACGATGCCGTCTAAAGGGTGTTTATTGATTTTGCCAGAAAATCATACATACTTTCATACTTTTTACTTTTTCGCTCATATGACGCAATTGGCAGCCTGCCTATTCAGGCGTATTTGTCGCTTGGCGAATATGAATTAAATGGCGAATCTGCGAGTAAATATGTTTGCTGGTAAGCTTGGGTAGGGCATTGTGAGGTGACTAAACCGATTTGGGTCATTGGGTTATTTGGGGAATGTGGCAATCTGTAAAGATCTCAGCTGCTGCCATCATTTCAATGCAACCCCCAATCGGTTGGTATGCCAATCGCAAATCTTGCTCCCAGTTCCCTCTTCCTTTCAGCCTCTTCCTTTCGTGCACACCCCATGCGCGTACACAATCTCTCTCTCTCTCTATCTCTCTCTCACACTTGCTCTCGCCCATTATGTGGCACCCCCACTGCGTCATTTATCCTCTCCAGGTCGGATTAGGACCCAGTGCCGGTGGCGCTCCAGGGGGTCAGCTTGTTAGCCAGAGTCACTGGGATGGCCTTTCTCGAGCCCGTCCGGCTGGATCGTTTCGCTCTCTCCTCTGCCCTCTGGCTCTGTCGGCACGCCCCCCCATTTTCCCTCCCCATCCTTCCCCATCACTCCCTATGCTCCCTTCGCTACCACTCTCTCCTCTCCACTTTCGCTACGCATTTTTCCCGCTTCTTTGGGCTCGCGAAACGCACCCACTTCATCGCTTCTCGCGCCACCATAACCACACATTTTTACACACACACACACACACATGCATACACACCTTCACGGAATGGAGGGGGGGTCATA